GTTCTTTGCCTCAGTGCACCATGTAGAGGTCCTCAAACAAGCCATTCAACCAGCCAGAGTTTCAGTGTCCCCGAACTCGTGTAGAGGACCACAGGCATCTGACATACACGTAACCCTTCCCCAAGGAGAGGTCGATGACCAATTCAGGGTTTCCCCCACAGGTGCCTCCTTCCCAAGACCCATTTCTCCACTCTCCTGGCTGGCTCCCAGTTTGATTCGCAAATTCAGGAATTTCCGGCATGAACCTAAAATTGGCCGCCCTACACAGAGGGCAAGGAGAGACCAAAGAAAGAGGCAGACTACTCTAGATCGGCAGGTGGCAGGTTTACTAAGCAAGGGGCCTTAAATATGAGGCTGGTCTTGAGTGACAAGATGAATAGATCTCCACACCCCACCCACCAGAATCTTTATAGTATACATAGGAGCTGTAACTGGGTGCAGTCACATATTCCATCCAGACGGTCTCAGTAATACCTTAATGTCTCAAGACTGCGTCCTTGAAAACAGCTCCCCCTGTGGGAACTGTGAGCAGAACGTATATTCCAAGGACGGGGGAGGGAGGAGCCTCCCGTTGCCCAGGTCCAGCTCACAGGTCAATTGGCAGTCATGTCCTCTGGGTGACCTCCCCCAAGATGAACATAAAACCTACAACTATTAAGCTTCTAGAAGAAAATATAGAAAAATACCTTTGTGACCTTGAGGTTAGGAAAAACTTCTTAGGGCACAAAAAGCTCTAATGATAGAGAAAAAATGGATCACTTAGATTTCATCAAAATTAAAGTTTTCTGCTTTATCAAAAAAATCATTAAAAAATACAAAGGCAAACCACAGAGTGTAAGAAAATGTTCACAAAACATTGTTCTGACAAAAGACTTGTGTCTGGAATATATAAACATCTCCTAAAACTATATATGCTGTTTTGTTTGAATTTTTACAATGATAACGTTTTCCTGTTGTTATGAGTAAATAGCCTTGCAATAACCACATCATGTCCCAATCACAATTTAAATAAACAAGAAAAACAGAATAAGGAACCCCGCACTCCAGCATCTCCTCTACGTCCTCCTTTGCTCGTACTAAAGATCAGCTTGAGAAACACACTACTATCCAGCCTTCCTTTCCCCTGGACAGGCAAAGAAGAGTCTTTCTGAAGGCTGAGGAAGTGAATTTAACAAACACTTACAGAGATAAAATTAGTAATAAGAGGGCAAGCTGCTACTCTGGAAATAAAAAAAGAAGAAATTGGCACATATTTTCTAAATGATTTGAAGAAATCTGGGCAAAATGGTAATTAAAGGAGAGAGGAAAGAATAGTTATGGGCAATTTTTAATAGTGCTTGAAAACCAACAGAAAACTAGATAAGAGGGTGAAGTTAAAAATGAGTTGACTGTGCTCATAACTTTGGTGCCTGGAGTTCTAACTGTCACCGGGATAATACAAATCAGAGGCTCTGAAGCATCTTCGTAAGTGGGAGCAGCAGGCAGAGAGCGTTTGGCTTAAAGTGATTCTCTCCTATTCGTAATTTTAATGAAAAACCATTTCAATATGGCTTTGGACTGCACTGGTATTTTCCATGTCATAATTAGAGCAGAAACTGAAAGTTACAAACCCCTCAAGATAATCCTGCATCAGCTCCTGACAGGATATGTCCGTTTTCAGCTATAAGTATTGCAAGTAATTTTCCATTCCGGTGGACTAATAAAAGTTTGGTGCGTTGATGTCAGTATTTGCATTGGTTCTGCAGAATGTGTTCTGAGTTAAGTGTTATTACAGTCCCTTCTCCTGGACTATGCAAAAGCTAAAGATACTTAAGAGATTTTCCGGGGCTACTTAACCAGCACTGTTCTAATTAGAAATCATACCACCTCCTAAAGGAGTCGATAGTGATTGTTAAACTACGTGTTATTTTCTTAAGAAGGTAAAAGGAAGCCAAGACAATCACGGTTGGATAATTTCCTGAGTACGGCTGTATCTTTGGTCCCTTCACTGTCTCCAACATGATCCCTTAAATTGCTCTAGGAATCCACCCACCTGGTGTCCCCGCCCCCCAACTGACCCCAGTCTCCTCCATTTCTGCTTTCCTGCTTCCTTTTTTACATGTCACTCACTCCAAAAATGCTCTCTGTCCCAGTATAAAGGATATTGAGTGTAATAGTGAAGAAAACTATAAACAGCCTGGTTTAAAAAGACAATCTCTCCTCTTAAAAAGAAAGCAACCTTGACTCCACATTCCCCTCTACAGCTACTACCTTATTTCTCTGCTCCCCTTCTCAGTAAAATGTAAAGCAACTGCTCTTATTCTCAGTCTCTATTTCCTCTCCTCCCCTTCCTTCTTGAAACTGCCACGTTCAGCCTTTCATCGCCACTCTTGTCAAGTTCATGGATGTCACCCAGGTTGCCTAGCCCACCACGGTCTGTCCGCAGTGTTTATTTCCACAGTGGATCACCCTCTTACTTTACACATTCTCTTCACGTGGTCATGGGGTGGAATTCTCTCTCAGAATCGTTCTCCTCCACCTCAGGAGCTTTTCCAGTCCTCTGATCTGCAGGTTCCTCCTTACCCACCTGATTTTTAAACAGTGAAGAGCTCCAAAGCCCAGTTCTCACGTTTGTTCAATCTCGCATCACTCCCTAGGTGATCTCACCCAGCCATTCAAAAGAACATGTTGCACGTGTTGTTGTGCAACAAACTTCAAGATAATGAAATAGAAAAAGATGGAACAGGGCAAGTTGGATGTATGCAGGAGTTCGGGGCTGCTGTCCATACAGGAATAGAAAACTTGACTTCTCTGAAAGGCTCGGGCACCAATAAGCCAGGAAGTCACATTAAAGAGCTGACAGTGTAGTCCCCCAAAGTGTAATGTTTTTACTAATTTAGCTAAAGGCAGGAATTTAGGAATCAGGCATACATCCCACTGTCCAGAAAGGTATAGTCTGCTGGGGGAGGAATAAAAAATACCTATAAAATAAGGAACAAAACAGTGTCACAATTGACAGTTTGGAGTTATGGGAGCTCAGATAAACAGAGCAGCTTTTAAAAGCTCTATGAAGTTGAATTGGTTCTGATTTTTTTTACTGCACCCTTTTAAAATTAATGTATTGCCCAATTGCTTCTATTGTCAAATTGAAATTTCTGAAGTTTTCTGTCCCTTGTTCATGCTTGTCTCTATGCTCCCAATCTTACAATCAGAGTGGAAAAGCCTTTTTATTGAGAACTACTCTATCCCTCAAACCTCAAGAACCCAAGAAAAACATAGCTAAGGGTTAACATTTGGAGAAAAAAATTACATCATTTTATTAAAGAGAAAGGTGTCAAAATGGAGAAACAAACACTTGGGACACAGGGAGAAATGCAGAGAGGCTGCCCCAAGCAGCTAGTAGACGCAACAGCTGGGATATGAATGCAGCTTTGTCTGATTCTAGAGCCCAGACTCTTTCAATTTAACAGCCTGGTCTCAAATAAAAATGCATATTTAAACTGATTTAAAAAGGAGGGAAATGTACCAGTGGAGAAAATATTCAATTTACAAGAAAGAGGAAATTGTTGGTGGAGAAAATCCCCTGGAAGAACTAAAGAAACACAAGACTTTCAAAAGTAGGTACATCCACAGAAACACTGTAAAAATATAATGGAGACCGAAAGGCAGAACCATGCTCACTTAACTGCAGGAAGATGCAGACTATCTTAAAACAACTGCCCTATTTTTGGTCGTTAGTGAAATCATCATTACTGTCTTTTATTTTCTATATCCATTTCCCTTCTTCTTGGCTTTTGTCCTATGAACAGGAAATATGAAATTTAGAGCTAGATCTCACCCAGGCTGGAGATCTTGATTCCTGCTCCCTGCCTTCCAGACCCCACTTCATCCCAAGACCCCACCCACCTTCACTCCCGTTTCACACGTCTTGCGTGCTCTTGCCCTCATCCTTTGCTAAATCATTATGTCCATTGGGCCAAATCCACATCAGTCTATGTCCCTTCTGAAAATTGCTGAAACACCTGTTTTTCTTTGACGTTTTCCTGAACCTGATGCCATAGAGTCAAATCAGAGGATTTGATCCGTGGTGTAACCAGCTGTCATTAGCTGTGAATGTTCCTATGCAGATTTTGATTGAGTTGTTCTCATGAATATACATTTATTTTTTACTTTACTTTTTAAAAATTCCTTACAGCTGTGCATTCGATAAATGTCACTGATTGTCTCACTGACTTCTCAGCTTAATCACAGCTACCCAGTATACAGATGATGACGATAGACAGATAGATAGACACATAGATAGATAGACAGACACATAGATAGATAGACAGACAGACAGACACAAACATACACACCCATACACACAGAGGACACAAATGCTAACCAAAACTAAATACATTTTTTTAATGTAGAGATCTTTGAGATTGTTAATAAGGTTGTTTCACAGTAAATTTACTGTATTCCTCTGAGAATAATTTGCCATAAACATCAAAGTAACGTTATATGCTTTTCTTCTCTCCTTTCTCCAAAGAAATGCACAGTGGGATATGTGAAGTGTCAGAAATAATTAGACAAAATTGCAGAATCCCATTGTGACACTAAAAATATCTCAAGTTGAATATTTGCTGTGAAACTTTAAAATCTGATTTGAAGGCTGCTTATTACAAACAATGTAATTTTTTCTTTAATGTAATGGCCTCAGAATTTTGAAAGCATGATATTATGTGAATATATGTTTCCAAGTGTAAAAAGCCTTATAAGTATAAATAAGAAAGTACTTTGGGTGGCAAGACACACTTAAAATTTGGTAATGTCTTCCTCAGAAAGAACTTGGGAACTTAACTTTTTTTTAAAAGTAGCATTTGAAGAATAATGTAAAGATGAAGTTTAGACTCAGAGATGAGAAATAAAATTATATCAAAAAGATGTAAAGAATGTATGAAAACCAAAATATTGTCATGTGTTCCAGGTAAAAGAATACAGCTTTTTCATTCCTTAACCAGTAGCATACTGTTTTCCAGAAATCCTCCATTCAGAAGAAATGCTGTGTTGCTTCCCTTTACCCACACAAAATGGAACCCAACAGACTACGTAACTGAAGAAATTACAGCCTCCTTACAAATGAGAGACATTCAAGTCTACGTAGTTTCCAGCTGAGTGAATATACCCAACAGCTTCTTCACAGTGTAGATTAGAACGAGGGAAAAATGAACATCACTAACTGTACCACAGAAGCCAGTGTGGCTGGCAGACCCAAGACCATCACTGAGAAGATGTTCATTTCCATGACTCTAGTGATCATCACCACCCTGACCATGCTGCTAAACTCCGCCGTGATCATGGCCATCTGTACCACCAAGAAGCTCCACCAGCCTGCCAACTACCTGATCTGTTCTCTGGCCGTGACGGACCTCCTGGTGGCCGTGCTCGTCATGCCCCTGAGCATCATGTACATTGTCATGGACAGCTGGAAGCTAGGGTACTTCACCTGCGAGGTATGGCTCAGCGTGGACATGACCTGCTGCACCTGCTCCATCCTTCATCTCTGTGTGATTGCCCTAGACAGGTACTGGGCCATCACCAACGCCATTGAGTATGCCAGGAAGAGGACCGCCAAGAGGGCTGTACTGATGATCCTCACCGTCTGGACCATCTCCATCTTCATCTCCATGCCTCCTCTGTTCTGGAGGAGCCACCGCCGGCTCAGCCCGCGCCCTAGTCAGTGCACCATCCAGCACGATCACGTCATCTACACCATTTACTCCACATTTGGGGCATTCTATATCCCCTTGACTTTGATACTGATTCTCTATTACCGGATTTACCACGCAGCCAAGAGCCTTTACCAGAAAAGAGGCTCAAGCCGGCACTTAAGCAACAGAAGCACGGATAGCCAAAATTCATTCGCCAGCTGTAAACTGACACAGACTTTCTGTGTGTCTGACTTCTCCACGTCGGACCCTACCACAGAGTTTGAAAAGATCCACACCTCCATCAGGATCCCTCCCTTTGACAATGACCTAGATCACCCGGGAGAGCGCCAGCAAATCTCGAGTACCAGGGAGCGCAAGGCAGCGCGCATCCTGGGGCTGATCTTGGGTGCGTTCATCCTGTCCTGGCTACCGTTCTTCATCAAAGAGCTGATTGTAGGTCTGAGTATCTACACCGTGTCCTCTGAAGTGGCCGATTTTTTGACATGGCTTGGTTATGTTAATTCTCTGATCAACCCGCTGCTCTACACAAGTTTTAATGAAGACTTTAAGCTGGCTTTTAAAAAGCTTATCAGGTGCCGAGAACATACTTAGATGGTAAAAAGCCAGAAGGCATGACTTTTACCAGCCTCGTGAGTGCACAGGGATGAGGGGTGCAACTTACTAATCCTTGAACATAGTTGGTTCAGGAGAGGTTGTAAGTATGTGTGGTCTTGTTTTTTGTTTGTTTCTGTTTGAGGCTTGTTTGGTGTGCTGTTTTCTACCTCTGGTCTTATTTATGGTACATAATTTCAAATAAACACTATCCTACAAAAAACAGAAATTTCATAGAAGTAATAAGGTAAAATAGTACAAACTTTTTAAAATTTTTTTAGCTATTTCTGTTAATCCTGCAATTAAAGAATGCCAAAATAAATTTTCACTTGGAGAATTTCTTATTACTTATAAATCAAATATCTGATAACTTGCCCTTGTGTGTGGCATTAATTCTGAGGTTATAGTTCCAAATGCTTACAAATGCCAGTGGGAATTGCCTGACTACATAAAATATTTTTTTATAAGTGATATGCTGTCATCTACTGCTTGCAGACCTGAGCTAAAGTCATTTACTATGATTACATAGCCCACTCCTTTCAGGCTCAGAGAGTACAGCTCGTATGTCCTTTTTGGTTCACGATTAAATAAGCATCCTCATTCTCTAAAAAGAACCTAGAATGAATGTACTGTCACTTTGCTAGGCCTTTGACTATGAATGTGAAACATAAGAAATAATGTTATAAAGTAGTCATCAAAATTGGTCAGTTTGTTGCTATATTACCTGACAGACACATTGGGTCTCCTCCATTGCTGAAAAGTGTTCCAACTAAGTCTCGAATACCCTCTCCCACTCTAGCACGATCAAGGACAGAATACATGTCAAATTTGCAGAACTTTTAAAGCAGCTTCATGGGATGCAGTGATCGAATGAGGGAATGTATGACCTGAAGAACTTTGTTGGAGAATGTTACTCATTAAATTACCAACTACTGCATTTGGGGAAAAAATTAAATGAAAATTGAAAATCTATGTTTACAGCAAAGGCCACCCACTAGGAAATGAGTATGAAATTGTGTCTCCTGGAATCTCTGTGGCCTCCCAGTCAGACTGCAGCCTAGGGCCAGGAGGCTGCAGGCAGGAACCAAGGCCACACAGTGCATGGCCTGACTCAGCCTCGCCCACCTGGAGTGACCCCCCTGGTCACATGGAAAAGCTTGCCACTAAGTCAGGTGTGATGACAGAAAGGACTGAAAGTGTGCAAGTTCTTGGACACTCCCAAGTGAGTGACTTTTCTAGACCTCTGCGTCTCACCTCTCATCCACAGCCTCCCCTATCTCTTCACTCCCCAGAGGTCAGGTCTCTTCTTTATTTTCTGAGAAGACATCGGTTTGCCCCCAGTTCCCCACCTACGTCCATATTTTAGCCCCTAATTCTATGCCCTCTCCTTTCTATAACCTTGCTCCTTTCCTCCATCTCTCTCTCCTTCCCTTTCTCTCTCCCTCCCACCATCCCTTCCTCTCCCCATTCTTCTTTAATCTCACCTATCAATTTGCTGAAGTCTCCTGGATCCTAGAACAAGCATCTTCCGGCCCTAATTCCTCCTCAAGCTCCTGCTCCATCTCTCTCCTCACTCTCGCACCTGAGTTTCCCCGATCATCAACCCAGTCCTGCGTCGACTCCTCACCTTCCACTGACTCTTCTCTCCTTTGTCAGTTGTGTGTGCCCCTTCCAGTTCCCTGAAAACACATCTCCCACAGGTCATTGGTGACTTGGCAATAGGCAGATCTAGTGGCCTTCCCTCTGTCCATATCTACTTACCCTCTCATCACTTAAAACCATCCCTTTCTTGTTCAAGCCCATGCCTTCCAGGAGACTTTCCTCTCCTGGTTTTCCAGCTGTCTTCTCGTTCTTTGCCTCCTTTTTTTTATCCCAGGGTTAATCCTCAGCTCTCACCTCCTTTGTCTTCATACTTTATCCCGACCTCCAACATTTCCACAGTTTCATGTCTGAGGCTCTAAAATGTGTGTCTATAATTCTGCTCTCTCTCTTTCTCAAACCCCAGACCCAAGAATTATGTCTGGTAAACAGCTCCCTACAAATACTCTGTCGGTGCCTCAAACATAACCTTTCTAAAATGAATTCATGGCTCATGATCATTTTCTCACACTCAAACCTTCTCCATTTCCACCTCCTCAGTCTCAGAGAACAGGATTAGCATGCATTTTCTCACTCACGTTAGGTAAATGAGATTCTCTCTCTTTATGGCTTGTCTCTCACATCCAGATAGTAATAAAGTCTTATCCATTTACCTCTATAGAACTTGTTAGAAAGCAAAGTCTAGGGCCCCAATGAAGACCTACCGAATCAGAAACTGAGGTGGGGGTGGCGGGGCATCACTCTCTGTCCTACCAAGCCCCGCAGGAGATTCTGGTGCATGCTCAAGTTTGAGACTCACTCTCCTAGAATGTATTATGATTTTTCATTGCAGTGCTCAAAACCCCCTACTATTTTCCCATCAACATACAATAAATTAAAATCCCTAAATATAACATTCAAGGCTCCTTCCCTATGTGGCTTCCAACTACCTTCCAGAGTTATGTCTCACCACTTCTTCTCACCCACCTCACATTCCAGAGAAGTCTGGATATTTCCTATGTTTACTGAGCCCCCCTAACATTTGTCCCCACTGCTTCAGAAACCTGACCCCATGGCTCCCCATCTTTCTTCCCTTAATCCTTCATCATGGAGTTCAAGTGCAATCTCTTCGGTAAAGTCTTCCTGAGACCCTCTTTCCTTCTCTGTCACTAGGGACATCCTCTCCCCCAGTTCTAAGCTCCCACAGAACCTCATTTAAATCTCTATTATTATAGGCATCCTATCCTGTAGTGCATTCGTTTGTGTATTTCTGCTGTCGCCCTAGTAGAGTGTGAGCTCCTTGAGGGCAGGAACTATGTCTGTTTCATCTCTGTATCCCTAGGGGCTCCTACAGTGTTTTACACACAAGAGGCACTCAATAAATGTCTGCTAAAGTGAATGAAATGATGTCCCCAGAAAAGAAATGTAAATGTGCAATCTTCTCTCCCTAAGAAGAGCAAACATTTAAAATCCCATGATATGATACGCAGTTCCTTTTTCTTTAAAATGTACCCTACCATTCCCAGCTGTGGTCAAAAAAAATGCTAGAAATGCTTCCACATGGAAAGAAAATGGATTTCTCATTGAATAGAAATGAATGTCTTTATTAGTCAGTATTCAGGCTAATAAGCTGCTCTCCAGGAAGTGACCCCAAATACAGTCGGTCAAACGTGTCTCTCCCATGACAGTCAAGAGGTAGGAGGGCCGCCCAGAGTGAGGAGGCTCTGCCCCACGACGTTATCCCAGGACTCAGGCTGCTTGCACTTGGTGGCTCAGCCGTCCCCTCAAGGCTTGTCCTCACCTGCATGGCCAAAGCTGACTCACCATCACATCCATGTTCCAGTCCACAGACAGGAGGAGAAGGAAGTGGAGAGCGAGCAATCTCCCTTTAAAGAAGTCCTGTGGAAACTGCACACATCACTTCTCGTATTCCACTGGCAACAACTCGGTCACATGGACACACCGACTTGTGGAAGAGAATAGGAGAGTGACTCTCTAGTTGGGACACCATGTGCCTTGCTAAAAATGAGAACTATTTAATAAAAGGAAGAAGGAGAAAATGGATACAATGGGTCAATGAGCAGTCTCTCCCAAACAGGGGACACCGGTTTCTGTATGTGCAGGTCAAACATCCTGGAACAAGTCAAATGGCTGCCCAGCTAGTGGCGATCTCTGCACAACGATGTCCAGACTTCAATTACAGGTGATTGAACTGAGATGGTGCCTATGCTGAAAGTCTTATCATGACTGTAATACCTAGAATATCTAGAAACTATATGGGCAACCCACTTGCTTTCTCATCTCCCTCCATATGTCACTGTTGAAAATTCTTGGCAATTATAAGAGTTTTAACATTTTAAGAGTCCAAGTCAATAAAAAGCAAAAAGCAGATGCATAACTAATTTTCACTTACTCATTGTCACTACCTCATTTTCAATTTACTAGCTATATCCTAATGAAATGCATTTTCTCATGCCTACCTCAGACCTCAGCAAAGGAGAATCTGTATCTATTTCCTAAGATAAATCAAAGCTGTTGGAGAAAAAAAAATCTGTTGTTTGATTTACTCATCAAACTGATAATGCACCCTGAGATTTACCACTACTGCCCCTTTAAATTAAAGCTTGAATAAAGTAACAGTACCTTCTGATATGGTTGGTGTTTCTAGGGTAAACATTAGCAGATTAAAAGTAAACCCCAGGGGTGACATTTCAATCACCTCTGTTAACTAATAAATTAGGACTCCCTGGTTTGTGTACTTGGTGAAAAAGTCTTGGTACCTGTCAGTCCCTTGGAGACCTGGTAGATGCTTGGGTTAAACTGGTGTCAGTAAGAACCCCCAGTAGCGCTGCTACAGCTCTCTGCTTTGGATAACTGTAGAGGCCTCCCGCACTTCTGAACGTCAGTCTGCAAACTCAGTTGTAGTGCAACATCCTGCGACTGAGCTGGTTACCAGCCCACATTATTCTCGTTTCAACCACCACATTGGTCTTAGTCTACTAATGTATGTTTGCTGTGTTTGCTTTATTTTTAAGGCCTTCTATACACAACACCTTTTCATTATGGGTTGTATTTGCAAAACCACTGAAAACATTAGAAAAATTAGTGAATGGGAGTCTATGACAACAACAGAAATACAAATAGGTAACTTTTAAATTAAAAGCGCTGAGAAAATGACAACCATTGCATATGAGAATGGGATGAAGCCTTGTTCAGTTTACAAATGCCACCATAAGCAACATGTAAGCAGGCACTGTGTCTAAATTATCAACTATAATCAGCAGGAAACAAGGACAAGTGATTAATGAGATGGGAACATGTCTGAGTATCACATGGCAGTTCTAAAAGGCATTTGGGAATGTGTGTGGGCATGGTTAGTTACTTCAGTAGACAACACTAGTGGCATTTTGTGGTAGAAGGCAGGGAGGCTAAATCTTGCAATTTAAACAAAAAAGCCAGTCCCCCTCAATAAAGAATTGCCCCCCCCAAAATACCATTATTATCACTGTCTGCTGAAAAAACCAGGTGTGTCAGCATCAATGTGGGATGCTCAGGAGCCTAATGTTAATTCAGGTGCTGGCTTGGGATATCTGAGAACTTATAGACCACGCATGGTGAAAGTGCTGCTTATGAGCTTTTATGGC